GTTAGAAGACAACAGAATTCTGTCAAATGTAGATATCAATGGAAATAATAGGTCAGAAACAAGTGAAATATTTTCTCCCGAAGCACCCCTTTTGAAAAATGACAGAGTAAACCGAAAAAGTAAGCGATCCCGAGGAAACATAGATAACCAGAATGTCATGCTTGCTAAGGACATTGCTGGACACAGATGGGAAGAAAACATTGACTCATTGCTGGCATACATCAACTCTTCTGACAAGAAAGGAAAGGGAGCAACAAATGGGAACAACGCTCTTGGACATGTGGCTTCATCTTTAACAAAACCATCGGTTAGTCAAGAATTGGAAAAAAAAAAGGAAAGGTGTCTTCAAAAGAGAGTAAAAATGTACAGAACTGTAAGAATCTAAGTAACAATAAAAAATATAGCAAGTTTAATAACACTTGTGTTCTCTCTGGAGGAGAAGATGATGAAATGTCATTAAATAGTGATGAACATGTTCAAGAACAGTATGGTCAAAATGAAACCTCAAAGAAATGCAGTTCTCTCGGCAATCCATTTAATAATTGTGTTTTAGAAAAAATACCTAAAGCCAAAAGTTTAGATGGTTCTTCATGTGTTGTAGTGAACTGTTTTGAGCCTGTAAGCAAGCAAGAAACAATAAAGACCATTGTTAGTAAACCTGATTTTACAAACAATAGCGGTTCCTCTGAACCATCATTTTCCCAAAGTGGAGCTTCTGTATTTCCTAAAGATTTTTATTCAGTTACAGAAGTAGGTCATGAATCCATGGAAGAAACAGAGTTCAGAGTTGTAGTGAAGAAGAGACATAAGAAACGACACTTACCAAAAAAATCATTGGATAGTTTCCGTAGACACAGTCATGCTGGTGGAACAGTTCATTGTTATCAAAATAAGTCTACACAAAAAACTTCTTGCAACGAGCTCATGTTACTGAACCTACCTCTCTCGCATCGTAGTCAGAGAGGAAGGCAGTCAACCAGTAGTGTTCCACCTTCGGAACACTCATCGGCAGAAAACTCCGACCTTGATAGTGTCCACTCTCTGCCTGTATGTAATTCTGCACCACCTCCAACATCGATTCATCCTCATACTACACCTTCTTCATCTTCATCAACTCCCCAAACTTCCTATGCAGACATTACTCGTATGTCAATGATTTCTTCAGGAGTAAAACTGAAGCCTTCTAATAATCCAATGAACATCAAGTCGAACTTTGGTTTGGAATTTGGTATGGAGTGTAATCTTGTAGAGGGTGAACCTTATTCAAACACAGATAGGCAGTCAGATGTCATTACAGAGGAAATGTTAAAGACTTCTTTTACGGGTGACAGTACTAATAATAGGAAAAACTTATCGAATACCTATACACACGAACATGTCCCCATAATCAACAAAACAGACCTAATTGTAGATAATCTTAACTTATTAGAAGCGGAGAGGAACCCTTATTCCATTATTCCTGTCACTGCTACATTATCTCTTTCAGTCAACTCTACCAAAAACAGTGAAGTGATTGTGTCCAGTGAAGTTGAGCACACGGAACAGAACAATAGTGTTTGTCTCAACAAGAACCTGGAATCTCAAGAATTATCAAAAGTAAAAGAAGAATTGCTAGAAACTCCTACAGAGCAGCAGACCCAAAATAGATTTAAACGTCCACCTGTTATTATTATGGATAATTGTATTCCTGAAGAATGTGTGTGTGATTTAACCTTTGGTTTTGAAATCAATGAACAGTTGCTCCGTATGAGCCTCGGGGAGGACTATGCCAAAGTGATGACCAGCCTTGGCTCTGAGCTACACATGTCTCCAGAAATATACTCGGCAATACCTAGTAGTGATAGTTCCATCATTTCAACTTCTCCCACCACTAATACTGGGTTTTCTGAGAACATCAAATCTAGTTACTTTGACAAATTTGTCACACTTTCAGGCCATTACATACAGTGGCGAGAACCCACAGTAAATATTGACACCTTTAATTACAGTCAGATTGTCCAGTTTTTTGGTTGGAGTAAGTATTTGTTAAATCAGTTTCTGAAATGTTATTAATAAGCTTCTACTTTTTTGTATTTTAATCAAAAACAAGGTAAGTAATGAATTATATTTACAAGTTTATCCTTAAGAGATGTACTCTTTTTATTTTTAATAAAATGTTAGTTTGTTTTTTGTATAGGTATAATCAGTAAAGCAGATTTTATCAAATATGCACCTTACTATAAGTCTTAAGTAAATAGGGATACAGTTTCTTTTTATTAATTTGAAACATGTTTGAGTGATTATTCTTATATTATAATTTAACTGAAGGATACATGTCATTTACAAACTTTAACTTCAAAGTCTGGCAACCTGTTAATATTTATTACTTTTTCTGCCATTTGAAAATACTCTAAAAATAGTCATAAAGTATTTATTTCGAACTAAATTTTTGCATCTTTTACACAATTTAGTCTAACTTTTAGAAAATGTCTGTTTAAAAACTAAGAGAGACAACTATGTGTGCCACAACCATATGCTTAGTCAAAGCTGTTATGCATGAAATCTCATTGTACAGTTTTTTCTGTTCCATCTCTACTTTGCTAAATATCAGTATAATCTGAGCTTCACCAGTAAGCAATTGTAGATAAATACTAGGGATGCGTATCATCATAGTAGTTGATAAAATACATATCTAGATATTGATGCCACGATATGATACGTTCCTAGATACAGAAGTTTTACCAACGGTGTGTTACAAAGTTTGACAGTCTTGTCTGTAATTTATTGTCTATATTACTAACATTGTATTATTTAAGTACTTCACACTTTACAGTGCTTCTTCAAATTCTCAGATTTGATCAACTAAATGGAAGCTGGCAAGAGAAGTAAAATAAGAGTTAATATCTGTCTATCTATTTTGCTGTTGTTAATTTGTTATGTTACTTTACATATAATGTTTTTGGTAAATGAAATGAAGACAACATGTGGTACTCAATACTCGTCTTCCTTTATTGAATCATTAAAAATAAGCAAAAGTATTTTATTAAAGACTTGTGTTTACTGAAAGCTTGTCAAAATGTCATATCGGACGATGTATCAATACAGTTGTGTCACAGCTTCATGATACGGTACTTGTATCGTATCACTGTACTGCCACACCTTTAGTAAATATGTGACTAGTCAGGCAGGTTGCAGTTGCTCATTTTTGAAACTTCCATAAACAACAGATACGGAAATTTTTGTTTATTATTTATATACTGTTGAACAATAACGTATACACAAAATCGAGACTGATCAAAATTGTTTAGGCCTTTTTACGCTTACTTATAGATTAAAGTGCAATTTCTCATTGTCAATTCACTTCATGTAGCAAAGGTTAAAGGACTTAAAAGAAATAAGTTAATGTTTCTAGTTCTTGATTCACAAGTGAAGTTTTGTAGCTAACATATTTTTACATCTTAGAATGGCACATGTCCATATAAAAAATATAAATTATAATATTTAGTTTTCATTTCTTAAAATGTTTACTCAAGATTTTCAGTATTGTTGTTTTTTAAAATGCAAAAGGACTTCCGCAAAACAGAAAAATGCATCTGTGTGACTGGCTGTAATATGTTTGCTTAATGATTTTTGATTTAAAAAAAAAAAGTTGTTATTTCTATTGGTTATATATACATAAAAACCAATAGCAATGACAACAAGAATGAACATTTTTTTTTTGAAAGGCAGAATGGTATAGGAAGAGCACATCTCAGTCAAGGGAAAATAGTGGAGGTTCTAAATTTATGTGTTGGCTTGCCAATGTCTATAGTATGAGTTTATAATAAGTTAGACATTCTGAAACTTATAAAAGAGTAGAAAGAAAATCTAAAATTGGCAACTTGGGGTGCAAGAGTATTTCACGACACAGAAAAGTTGAGATTAAGAATTTATTTAAATATTTCCTTTTCAAATTAAGGAATTAAAACACAGGTAATATAAAAAAAATTTGAAATATAAACTGTTTTGATGTGCCAAGATTATTGAAATATTTTAACAATTAAGTTTTGGATGCAACTGTAACAGGTTGTGACATGTGCTCTTTCACCTTGCAGTAAATGTAAGAGTTAATTAAACAAACAAAACTGTCTTAATTTAAAAAGAGTTGAATAAGTTTGGATTACAAAATGACATTGATTAATTTTTCTGGATAATCTGAAGCAAGACAAAATGTAATTTTTATGTTCTTAATGTTACCAATATGCCTTGTAATATTTAGGTGTACACTATAATTCATTCTATGGGGACTTTAAGTAAACAACACTTGGTGGTAACATTTATTCTTGTGTTTTGTTACTTGATATCTTTAATTATTTGCTCTTTCCAAAATATTTTATTTTTGAAATCTGAAGAATGTTTATCATTAGCATTTATGAAGGTAAAATATTTCATATTTAATTCAGTTTTATTCATTGATAAGCTAGGTATGTATGTCAAACTTCATTTAAGTATGTTATTTGTCTAACAAACTTAAATTTATATTGTGCACCTTTGGCAGTTGAGTATCATATTTTGTTTATTAAAAAATTATTATGGGTAGCAGTTTTTTTGTCTAAAAGATACTGCATTTGATTTTGTTGCCAGAATTATTGTACAAGTATTTTATTCTTTTTAGGTAGAGTCAGTTGTGCATTTGCAGCTTTTGTAGGACTAACAAAAACCATTATTGTGTTCTGTATTTCATTATTTGTTAAGTGATGTTTTTATTTTGCCTTTTTTTTATTCTTTCTGCATGTTGCCTATCCAACATGCAAAGAAACTTTCATTTTAAGATGAAAAATACTTTTATGCATCAGAAAATTTTCAAATTTCACATGCAAAATCTGTATACTGTCCAAATAGTTATAATACTTTTCTTAAGAAAAATGCTTTATATTTTATCTGTTATTTTCACTAACGAATCTCTGTACTGGTTTGGTAGATTTGACCAATCTTGTAACCACCATAG